CCAGCGTGGGGGTGGGGACAAGGGCTGGAAGCAGGGCTTGAGTCAGGCCTTGGGGAGATGTCCTGGGGTTGGGTGGGGCTTGGAATGTACCCGAAAGGGCGAAAGCAGGGTTTTGGTTAGGCGCTGGAGTGAAGCCAGAAAAAGTTGAGGGTGCCCGTGCTGGGACACCCCCACCCCCTCACGTTGCACCGGGCCCCTGCAGCCTTACGCAGACCGGATGCACGACTCCACCTGGCGCTGGTGGAAGAACAAGGAGGACTACTGGGTAGGTGGGCTCGGGGCAGGGGGTTGGGCCCCGCCCATCCCCTCCGTCCTGTGGCTGATTTTGCCCCAAACCCCCCCAGGATTACTATTTCTACCAGGCTAGCAACAGGGAGAGACCCAACAAAGTGCACATTGACACGGTCAGCTACGAGAAGATCTACGACCTGAAGGCGGAGTACGAGCTGCCTGAGCGCATTTTCCTGGACAAGGGCACCAGCTACAGCTTCTCCGTCTTCCTGACCACCAGCGAGTCGTCCTTCCAGGCCATGCTAGGTCTGAGGTGTCTCCCCACCCTGACCGGGTGGAGGGGCAGGGGGCGGGGCCTGAGGCTGGGCGCCTCCCAGGTGAAGGCAGTGGTTTAACACCTCCCACTGTGGGACAGATTCCTCCATGGGCCTGGCGGTGGTGCTGGCCGACCCGATGTGCATGGAGGCAGTGGTGAAGCGGAAGGTTCTTGTTAATCGCAATTCCGTGCTTTTCTGGGTGAGACCCGGGAGAGGTGGGGGCGGGGGGGGGGTTGCCAAAGGAGGGGACTGAGCTACTGGCGCAGTGGGAGCTCGGGGTTATTTAAAAAGTTCTCAGAGGCTTCTGGCAGGCGTTTACCCTTCATTTCCGCCCCATCCCCACCCCCCCACCCCCCAGGTAACGTTCAGTGATAAGAGCGTCTGCTTTGACCAGGGCATTAGTGGACACCACCTCATGAAGACCTCCATGCTGGTCAGGGTGTGTTGCGGTCTAGCCTAGCGGGGAGGCCCGCGGGAGGAGGGGCAAGGCTGGGCTTTGCGCTCAGGGTCGGCTGCTCCCCGCAGGTGGTGGGCTCCTCCGGGCACTGCTTCCAGAACACGTTCCGAGGCCCCCGCTCGCAAGTATGGGACCTCTGGATTCTGGGCTGGTGCTGGGAGGGGTCTGGCTCCCTGCAGGCTGATCCCTGGGCCACCCCTGCTGTTCCCATGCATGCATTCCCAGCTTCCCTCTCAGGCTCCTCTGTCTGCATCCCACCCCTCAGTCCTTACCCCCGTTCATGTTTTCAGCGGCCTGCAGTTGTGTGGTTGCACGCAGGCTGCTAAGTTCCTCCTGAAGTTTTTCTGCAGGAGGGAAGTAAAGTGACTCCGTGGAAGGCATCTTTGCCCCCTTGGCATAGAGGTCCCTGGGGCCAGCCTGGCCCTCTCTGACAGGTTACCCTTCACCTATCCCGCCCACATATCCACCTCCTACCCTCCACCCCCCACCCCTATGCATGCGCTTAGCCCACAGGTCAGGCCCTTGGCTCTTCTCTTGCATACAGTATCCCTGCTGCATAGCCCAGAGAGAGGCTCAGAGGGGTGCAGGCAGCACCTCGTAATAACCCAGCAGCTAACAGTGGCAAAGCAGGGCCCTTACCCAGAGGCCTCGTTCTCAGCCACTTTCTTCCCCGTCACCTGCAGACAGAACCTGGTACACTGCCCCTGCACCCCAGCTCCCAACCCACCCACCCCCACTCAGAATGACCTAGGGTGGTAAAACCGGGGTTGTAACAGCCCCCAGTTCCTTAGACTACATGAGGTAATGCTTGTCAAGTAGAGATAAGGGTGACTGACCCCAGCACCCAGAAGTGTTTCCTGCATCAGCTGCCTTTTAATCTCAGGAGCCCAAAGTTAATGTTCCCATCTTTCCCCAGTTAGAAACTAATCTGCAGCATCGTGTTATAGCGAAGGGTCAGAACAACCTAATGCCCCTTTACAGGGGGTGCTCAGGGGACTCATGCAGTGGGAAAACAGCAGCTGTTAAAAAGAAGAAGTGGAGAGGTGGGCAAAGGCCTCCACAAACTGATACCGAATGGCTCCCAAGTGAAGTTTATTATTCTTTTTAAAAAGATACATTTATTTATGCATACAGAGCTGGGGTACAGTCCAGAGGTACAGGGGTGAGAGGATTCACCAGAGACAGAGCGGGGAGCAGAACAGGCAGGTCTACTGAAATCCACTGCCGAGGGGAGCAGAGGGTGAGACAGGAGAGGTCTGCTGTGCCTCGTGGGCCACTCCCTGGCCGGGGATCAAACTCATGCTGTAATGGCTCCGGCCAGCTTCAAAGTGCTGAGACTTAACCTGTAGCGCCACCAGGGAGGGCCGTATATTTTATTCTTAAAAGAAAAAGACAGGGCCCTCCCTGGTGGCGCAGCGGGTTAAAGCACTGCACTGAGAAGCTAAAGCCACTTCCACATGAGTTCGATTCCCGCCTGCCCAGGAGGTGACCACATGGCGTGGCAGACCTCTCCTGACCCGCCCGCTGCTCCCCTCAGCAGTGTACTTCATCATCTGCCTGTTCTGCTCCCCACTGTCTCTGGTGAATCCTCTCACCGCCCCTGAGCCTCTGGCCTGTACCCCAGTTCTGTATGTACAAATAAATAAATCTTTAAAAAAAAAAAAAAAGAAAAAGAAAAAGACAAAGCACAACAAAAGAGAGACTTGACTATACTCTGCTGTGCGCACCTGTTGCAGGTCTCTCTTCTGTTGTCCTCTCAGGCTGGGCCTGTCCAGTTTGTTGTCCCTTCCTCTTCCCACCCCTTTGTCACCTGATTACTTGCAGGGCTCGGACGCCCTCTCTGGCTCCCCATCCTGGGAAAAATAGAGAAACTGGAATAACTGATTTAACAGTGGGCTCTCCATCTGTGAATATGTTGGGAGAGGGAAAGAAGGAACTGACATGTAGTGGGTCATTCAGATTCAGCTGGGTAAGCAAAGGTCTGGGCTTCTCTGGGAGGGAGCCTGGGCTGGGGCTGGAATCAAGGCGATGGGGCAGGAAGATACTTTACCAGTACTGAGCACCTGCGACATTCCAGCACGCAGTGGACGCTGGAATCACAGTGGTGAAAAGAGGCAATACGGACGGACCCTATGGAGCCTGTGTCGAGTGGGGGTGCACTGGTTTGGGCTACCACAACAAGCAGCCATGACGAGGTGCTGGCTGCTCCCTGCTTTGGGGGCCGGAAGTCCCAAGTCAAAGTTGGTTTTCCCTCTGGAGGTTCTGAGGAAGAATCTGTCCCTTGCCTCTCCCTAAGCTTCTGGTGGTGGCTGACACGCCTTTGCTGGTGGGCGTATCGTTCTGATCTCTACCTCTGTCTCCACGAGGGCCAGCGCTGTGTGTCCATCCTGCTGTCACTCGTGCGAAGACAGCATCACATCCAGGACGAGGGCTACCCTGACCAGGACATAGTCTCTCTGTCACTCAGGGCTGCTGAGAGGGTTAAACAGGCGAGAATACCTAAAGCACTTAGACTATCACCCAGCGCCTGGCGAACTGTAACAGCCACCTGAGTGTTTACAGTTCGATAGATACGGTTTTTTTCAGGAATGAGGTCCTGGCCCTCTGTGGTGAGGAGCCTAGCAGGTAGCTGGTTGTGTGGGAAGAGGGGTGTCTCTTCCACCTCCCCAAGCCCACTGGAGGCTCTTCTCCTCTCACTCAGGGCAACCTGATGGTGCCCATACTAATCGGCTGCCCGCCTGGCAAGCGCCTGGCCTTCGACATCTCCTACACGCTGCAGTACAACCGCCAGCAGAACAAACACTATTTTGATTGCGTGAACCCAGACCCCGAGATGCCCTGCTTCCTCTTCCGCGACAGTGCGTGAGCCGTCCTCCCTGTCAGTCCAAGTCCCCCAGCCAGACCACTGTGCCTGCCCCACCACAGCCCCCCCCCAGCCTGACACTGCAGCCTCCCCCCTCCCCGCTCCCTCCACTGTCCTCCTGGCGCCAAGCTAATGTCTTCTTCTGAGTTCAGCCCTCTCCAAACCCACAGTCTTCTACCCTTTCTTCTTGATCCAAGATTTGGTGACGGGAGATTCTGGCAGTTTTAAGGGCAGGTAAAGACTGGCTGACAGGAGTGGGCGGTGGGGAGGAGGAGGGTGTTAGAGATGACAGAGGCCTCTGCTCTGGCAGCTACGTGCTCAAGGTGGTGGGCGGAGGACCCACGCTGAGCACCATCAAGGACTACAGCGAGGAGGAGATCTACCGCTACAACAGCCCCCTGGACAAGTAAGCCCTGCGGGACCAGGCGGTCCGGGCCCTCCTTCACCCTCCTGCCCCACCCACCTCATGTCTCTGGCCCCGCCCCAAGTCTGTGGCTACGCCCACACACGAGGCCCTGCCCACTCATAGTTCCCCACCCCTTTCCTGACCTGTCGGTGCCGCTGAAGTCGGGGCTCCCTGCCCTTTGCCCTGAGGTTCTGCCGTCCTGCAGGACCCGCAGCCTCATCTGGACCTCCGTAAAGAACATCACCACCACCGGAGACATGGCCTTCAAAATCATGTCCTATAAGAGCACTGGCATCCAGTGAGTGTACCGCCCTGTGGCGGGCTCTTTACCCATTCTGTCAGGCCTGGGCATTCCCCTGGCAATGGTAGGGTGGGCTGGGGGTGATCTTGATCCCTGAGTCACACTGACATCCCTTGTGTTCCTCAAATGGAACCCATCTTTCCTTGAAAAAATTTCCACCTGCAATGCGCCTCCCTCTCTCTTTCTTGAGGCCTTTAGTTCAGATGCCCCTTGATCAAGGAAGACTTTCCAACTCTTGTAGCTAGGACATTTGGCCCCCACCCTCCTGTGGTTCCCCAGGAGAGCCCACCCCAACTCCTCTGTCTGTGGCCCCTTTTCCCAGCTCTCCATTCTGCCCATTCCGAATCCCCATCCCAGTCATTACCCCACTGCTTGTGCTTCCACATCCCAGCTTGATTGACACCTTTGGGTGGCACCACGTGGTGTGGACTCTGCCTCCCTTACAAATTGAGGCTCTGAATAGACTGATGATAGTGTTGGTTGACTGAAACAATGAAAAACAAATTAGTTCACTGATGGTAGGCACCGACTGATACCTAAATGGAGGTATTAATGAATGAGTAAAACAAGTAACAAATGAGTACGTAAAGGCTCACTAGCTCTCTGATTCACGAAAGGTAGAAAATGATGCAGCGGGCAAATACAGTGAATGAATGAGCAAATTCACTAACTTGCATCTAGTCATTATCAGTCTGTGCTTACTGAAAAATTAATTCAGGGAAGAATAAATGGAGATGAGACTTTGTACCTAGTAGGTCTCAAGCTGTATTTGTGGGATGAAGGAACGAAGGCAGCATATAGGGGCGTGGGAGTGGAAGCATTGACAGATGGGACAGAAGAAATAAATGAGGTAAAAATGTTGGTCACATGGTAGGTGTTCAGTCATCCTTATTGGATGAGCCGATGAAGGAGTGAAGGAGGGAAGAAGGTATTGCATCTAGTAGATGCTCTCCCAGAGTTGTGGGGTGGGGGGACAACCAGGGGTTGACCTGTACCAGGCAGGTTTTTCACCCAAGTAACTGAATGTGGGTCCCCAGGTGGCTGTGTCTGGAGAATTCTCCATGCCATGACACCGTTCCCCATAGCATCTTCGCACCCGAGTTCTTCTTCAAGGTATTGGTGAGCAATAGGTAAGCCAGACAAGCAGCCCAGGTGGGCTCGGGAGTCTCCAGTGGGGTTCCCGACTGCATCCCCAAGTGCTTCCTCCTCCAGAGGCGTGGACAAGAGCACATACTGTGACTACCAGCTCACCTTCCTGCTGCATGTGCATGGGCTCCCCCTCAGTGCCAGGCGGGCCCTCTTCATCTTCATGGTGAGTGGGCTGCCCTGCTGCGGGGGCCTGGGGGACCCCCCAGGCTGCTCACCCCGCACCTCTCGTGCCATGCCTGCATAGGTGTCAGCCAGTATCTTAGTCAGCCTGCTGATCTTCTATGTCATCTACATCTGCATCTTGTCGCCCCTCATGGTGAAGGCCTGCAACATCCTTCGCTGGAAAATCAACAACATCATCACCTTTCAGGTCAAGTCCATCTCGGTTACTGTCCATTTTTTTCTGCTCTGTTGTGATTCACACGTTTGTTCAAGAATATGGAGTACCTTTAGGCACTGGTGATGCATCAGCAGCAAAACAAAGGCTCTTTCCTCATGGAGCTTCCATTCTGGTGTGGAAAGGCAGAAAGGATTTTGAAAAAGAAAATAAGATGCATAAATGTCAAAGTAAGTGAACGAACAAATGGATGTGAGGTCCACCCTGTGCCAGCGGCATTCTCACTCCTCTCTCTCTCACTTTATTATTATTTAGTATTTATTTATTTTTTGTATAGAAAAGCTAGGGTACCGGCTAGTTGTGCGGGGGGGGGGGGGTGAAAGATTCCACCAGAGCAGAGTGGGGAGCAGAGCAGGCAGATCTACTGAAATCCTTTGCTGAGGGAGCAGTGTGTGACTAAGTCTGCTGTGCCACGTGTGTCAGCTCCCTGGTGGGGGCAAACCCAGGCCCTGGTGGTGATAGTGCCATGATTTAATGCGCATGCCACCAGGGCTCCCTTAGGCCAACCGGCCCTTCCTTCTGGCTGCCATGGTCTCTGCCTCCTCCTCAGGGCAACTGCATCCTATCCTGCCCTCATTAGGCCCAGAAAGAGCTGCTCTGTTAGCAGTTGCCTGCTGGGATCTCTGATTTGCTCAACGTGGTCAGCCCTGACCAGGGCAATGCAAGTGTGGGGTGGAGCCAGCCTCATCTCCCACTAGATCTGAGCAGGGAGATTTTCTCATAAGCAACTGGAGCCCCATGTCAGGGACCCCGAGACGCCACGTGGAACAGCTGCTCTGGCAGGGAGGACACATATGGGCTCTCTGAGGCCAGGAAAACGCGGGTGGGAGCCCAGGTCCAAATGCCTGGGCCTCAAGCCCCCCGCTGGCCCTGACAGGGAGCTGGGTGCGCGTCCTGGCAAACGAGTGCATCAAGAGGCTGTGCCCGGTGTATTTCCACAGCAACGGCTCTGAGTACATCATGGCCCTCTCCACCGGCAAGCATGAAGGTTATCTGCCCTCTCTTAGGTTCTTTCCCTGAGGTTCTGCTGACCTGAAGACACGCAGCCTCATCTGGACCTCCGTAAAGAACAACTGCCACCGAGGACGTGGCCTTCCTCATCATGGCCCGTGGAGCCCTGGCATCTGGTGATTGCACTGCCCGGCTGCAGGCCCTCTTCTCGCTGTGCTGCCCGCACTGTCCGGCCTGCCCATCCCTTCTGCTGATGTGGCTGTGCAGTGGGGTCATCTTGATTGCTGTCACACTCACATCATTCATGTTCCTCAGTGGGGCCTTCACTCATCCTTATTGGATGAGCTGATGAAGGGGTGAATGAGGAAGAAGGTATGAAATTGCATCTAGTAGATGCTCTCCCAGAGTTGTGGGGTGGGGGGACAACCAGAGGTTGACCTGTACCAGGCAGGTTTTTCACCCAAGTAACTGAATGTGGGTCCCCAGGTGGCTGTGTCTGGAGAATTCTCCATGCCATGACACCGTTCCCCATAGCATCTTCGCACCCGAGTTCTTCTTCAAGGTATTGGTGAGCAATAGGTAAGCCAGACAAGCAGCCCAGGTGGGATCGGGAGTCTCCAGTGGGGTTCCCGACTGCATCCCCAAGTGCTTCCTCCTCCAGAGGCGTGGACAGGAGCACATACTGTGACTACCAGCTCACCTTCCTGCTGCATGTGCATGGGCTCCCACTCAGTGCCAGGCGGGCCCTCTTCATCTTCATGGTGAGTGGGCTGCCCTGCTGCGGGGGCCTGGGGGGCCCCCCAGGCTGCTCACCCCGCACCTCTCGTGCCATGCCTGTGTAGGTGTCAGCCAGTATCTTAGTCAGCCTGCTGATCTTCTATGTCATCTACATCTGCATCTTGTCGCCCCTCATGGTGAAGGCCTGCAACATCCTTCGCTGGAAAATCAACAACATCATCACCTCAGAATCCTTCTACACCTACACCTCCTCTTCCAGAAAATTCAATGGGCCATCTAGGTCCAGGTCTAGGATAAGCTACATAAACAACACCTATAATATCCCCAAGATGCCAGAGCAGAGCCAGCCTGCAGCCGAGGAAACGGTGAAGCAGATGTAGCTCACCTGCGCCTCCTGCAAGAACCCCAGCCTCCCTCCGCCCTCATTTTCCCAGAGCAGCTTAGAAATGCAGTTCCCCATCTCATGCCTTTCTTTCTGTTTAGGTTGAATTCACACTCCTTCAGATACAAGTAACGCCTCATTCAGGACCAGCTATGGGCGCACGTTAAGTTAGTTTGTACCACACAGCTGCATAGGTCATTAAAATATCAAAATCCTTCTGTGACACTTGGCAAAGAGCTGCTTCTCTTTGTGCTTGTCCCTGAAGGACACCTCAGGATGGCCCTTGCCTCCCTGAAGTCCCGTGGGGCCTCCATGACTCAGGCCCATCACTTTGGCCTGCAGTCTATTCTGATTATCCATGCCCCAATTTAGCACCAGTCATTAAATATTTTGAATGTCAATAACTATCTAGTGTGTGGCTTAAGGAGAGGACTCTGGTAAAGTTAAGATTCTGGTTTTAGTTGCAAGTAGCAAAAATTTCACTCAAATGGTCAAAGTGGAAGTGGTAGTTTATGGACTTTGTTAAGATGGGCTTCAGGTACAGCTTGATCCAGAATATTTCAGTGTCCATAGGAGTCTGGCTCCATTTTTTTCTGCTGTTTCCCTGCTCTGAGTATAAGGAGATTGTTAGGAGTTTAATTGAAATCCCCAAGGTAACCAGTAAGAAGATAAAAAAATGTGTAGAAGGAAATAAGTGAATAAAAATGGTACACTACAAATAATCAACTAGATTAAAAAGAACAGCAGTAATAGGAGAACAAGGGCCAAAAACATACAGAAAGCAGATAGCTAGATGACAGAAGTAAATCCCATATTATTAGTTTTTAATGTTAATGGGTTAAAGTATCATGAAAAGGCAGTGCTTGTCAGATTGGATTTCAAAACTGGTCCAGCTCTTGTATACACTGCCCCTAAGAAACATAGGTAAAAGGAAGAAGACAGAAAAAGATATTCCATGCAAACACTAATCAAAAGGGAGTTGGGGTGACTATATTATCATCAGAGAAAATAGACTTAAAAGATTTATTTATGCATACAAGAACTGGGGTACAGGCCAGAGGTGCGGGGGATGAGAGGATTCACCAGAGACAGAGGTAGGGAGCAGAACAGGTAGATGGACTGAAACACTGCTGAGGGGAGCAGCGGGGGAGATGAGAGGTCTGCTGAGCCTTGTGGGTTACCTCCCTGGCTGAGATCGAACTCATGCTGCTGTGGCTGCAGATAGCCTCAGAGTTTACACTTTTATCCCTGGCACCACCAGGGAGGCCCAGATTATAGACTTTAAAGAGGGATATTAGATAGGGGGATGATTTATTTTGACAAGAGGTTCAATCCAACAACAAAATAGTTATGTTGTTGCACCTAAAAACAGCCCCCAAAATATATGAAGCAATAATTGACAGAATGCTGAATTGTTCACTTTCAAGTGGCCAATTTTATTATGAATGAAATGAATTTCATTTCAATTATAGTCACATGTAGCTTAATGAAGCTTTGGTCACTGGTTGCCTGTTATGTATGATGGCCCCACGAAGGCTGTATCATCTAGCTTAGATGTATAGTGGCCTATTGCAACGAGGTTTGCATAATTATTTATTTGTACAATGACAAATGACAAATATCACATTCATACAATGATGAAATTGTCTTAATGCATTGCTAGGGGACGGAACGTAATATGACAGCTTTAATGCTTTTCTTTGAATACAGTTGGTTCACTTCTAAGGGGCAGGTTGCTAAAGTAAGACGACTGAGTTACAATATGCAGATTTCAAATTTTAATAAGGGAAGATTGTTTCCCAAATTTGTAGTAGTTCGCAGTTCCTCCATCAACAATGGAGCTGGCAATGAGCCAGGAATGGGACAAGGACACTGACAACGTAGGACTCAAGGACAGAAGCTTGCTGTTCCTGCAGGTCAGTAAAAAAACAGGTTAGAAACCTGATGACTTGCACAGAATTGGATTAGAAACGACAGGGAGGGCACTTGAGAAGAAGCTGGGCATGTCAAGTAGGGAGGAATGACCTATGGAGAAAACCGGCACTAAAATACCCAAATCCTCTACATACATGTGATCTCCGTAGCGGTGGGCCTTAACTTGCTATGAGTGGTGCCCTTTGGAGGGGTTTGCAGGTAAAATACTATGAGGTGGAGCAGCCAAAAAAAAGTCTGCACGGCAGCTCTGCGCATGCCCACGCAGGAGCTTCGCGCACGCGCGCCAGGAAGCTCTGGGCCGGAAGAGGCGCATGGTGGCCCGAGTCAGAGGCCCAGCTAGGCCCAGCTGGGCCCAGCAGGGGGCGTCGCCCGGCCAGCACCTCAGGGGCTCCTGG